GACGGAGCACAGGTTCGTTACAAATGTCTGAAATGTTTATGTGTGCTGTGACTCATATCAGTAGGTCTGTAACATATGTGTCAGTAGGTCTATATAATATGTGTATTTCAGACATTTGTAACGAACCCCTGTTGATCAATGCAGTGTAACACACGATATTTCTGATACATGTAAGATTGCATGAGCGTTAAAATTGTTTCCATTGCCGGCATTGGTGATTTCAACCGATGTGCATTTTGTACGATATTGCAGACATTGGTCTTGTTTTCGTTGTAATGAAAGTGTTTTTTATTTTGCACATACATTTACAATGGCATTGTCAAATGTCACAATGCCCAGCGATATTTCAGCAGCCGTCATGTTTATCTATATTAGATATTGTAGTTCCGGTCAGTGTTGTATTAATACGCTAAGAATTGTGTCTCGTGATGCATGGTAATTAAAGTCACATCAACGCCACAGCTTTCAAAGAGGCTACATAGTGACAATGCCATGCAAATGTAAATATTCAGGATTGAATTACACTTTAGAAGAAATGAATTGCAAAACTTTTGTGCATGGATTATTATTGTTCCTTTTTCGAAAATTGATCATGTTTACCTCCATTATTTCATATGATAAAACATTTATTTAAGCAGGGTTTGTCGGTGTGATTGCTGAGGCCAATGTGAACTTCCAGATGCTGAGTCTACGACGTGTTTCAGGATGGAACGGGAACGGAATGCCAGAGGACGACTGGTTGACACAAAGTGTACATGTTGATCCAGTCACTAAATATCCTAAATTTTATAGCGACACCTTTATAAAACTGTCAATTAGCGATATTAAAAGATTAAATATCCAGATGTCAATCTGGCCCCAACAGTTGGAAGGACTCGTGCTGTTTAATGAGGGCAGGATTCCGGGATCGTTTGTATACTTAATTATACACAAGGGTGTGCTCCGGTTTTGTTTCAACTGTGGACAGCTATCTGTTTGTGAAAACGTTCAGGACGTAGAGGTGAGTATTGTTCCTCATACACTTACATATAACTACCGGTAAATGTACCGCTACCATGTTCCGAAAACGACAGTGTAAGTGTAAAGAATGGCCTTGGCCGAAATGTTGTTACGTTAACAAGGTAGACATGCGCTGTCTCGTTTTACTAGATTAATGTATGTCTAAAACTCCTCATAGCAAAACATGCTACAGATCCAGACAGATATATCAGATCGGTTGTTAAAGCAAATCTAGTTCCATGTAAAACCATTTCAGAATGGAGCATTTCTCACGGTTATTCTAAATATTTGTTACCATGTTTTCGCTTTAATTCGAAATCAGGCTGACCAATCAGAAAACCCAGAAATAACCTTCACTTCATCTTGAAGACATATTTATCGTAATTGATCTGTGTGTAATATGTTATCATATTTGTACAATTCGTATCCATGTAAATATCTTTACTTTGATATCCAGGTACTCGTATGATTAATAGACGAAACCTTCTTTATCAAGAAGGTAAGGTGTCATGAGTTTGAGACCAGGACACGCACGGGTCATATAATGTCTCCCTTCGTTACATGTGTTGTGTTTTTAAATGAGTGCTTTCTGATTCGTTAGAAAAACACTAGTGTGCGGTCTTGCTTTTATCACATACCTTCCGTATTCGGTAGAGACCGATACAAAGATTTAATAAACTTTGATATGTTTTTGTAAATAGCGGGAACTTTTCAGTTCGTCATGACAAGGGGATTCCCATAAAAAGTAGTTCCGGCTAGTAGGTAAATACAACATTCCGTATTGCACATGTGCAATACAGAACGTTGTATTTCATGGTCTGATAATTGCTTGTATTACTATAACAAGATTCAACAGGTATGTGATAAAGTAGTTTATGTTGACCCGAAGGAGTAAGATATGAACTGTATATGTCGTAAAACTGTATAGTATATCTATTGTCATGTAATGAAGCTAGTTATTCAAACAAAATTATATGCAATCAAAAATATTTGAAGCAAATGTCAGTGACATAATTGCAATTGTTTAAGTTTTGAAGCTTAAAATGAATGAAGCGAATTTTACCTTTAAACAGTCGATGCGTTGGTACCGCGTGTCCATTATCGTGTCTGGGATCATGAGCAGTATCCGTATAAACTTAGGGAAGGCAGTCCAGCTCACCTCTCCAGGACTGCCGTACTACACCGGCTCGCATGTATTCGTGGGTGGAGGAGAGAGTCAAGACTGGGTCATTTTCACAGCTATTACAGGAACAGACCGAGGATTTTCAGGGACTTTCCACGAGGTCACCATCAACGGCCAACACTACACGCTGCGGACCCAGCCTCTGGAGAACAGCAGGGGGTTCATGAACACCGAGGGTGTCAGTTCCACAGGTATTCCTACTTACCTTCGAAACGGTATACTTATTTAACTTCGACTAGTATACTAACTTATCTTCGAAACACATGTGTTTGTTTCATTGTGTCATATTTTTCATATTTCCGACCTTGTCAACACGTTTGGTTATGTTCCTATAATATGCTGTAATAAGTGCTTCTTCGAGAAAAAGTTTCTTAAATTTTAATCACTAACGGAAACAAGTGTAATCATCCTGAGATAGGAGGTTAATTCCACAAAATTAAACTGTTTTACAAACAGCTGAGAATCTAAGGAAAGCTTTTTGTTCTTGATATTGAAAGATTTCTTTATTTAGATTGGAATATACATTATGGGTTTTGTGTGGATCTATATCGTTTTCAGAGAAGATTATGGAGATCCTTGAGCGAAGCGACAGTAAAGTAGTCCTTCGATGTGACTTTTCACATTATGCGCATTCTGAAAGTGATGTTTACGTGGAATGGTTTAATGTAGACAAGAAAATAAAGTCTAGTCCTGATCGAAAAATTACGCCAAGGGTATGTAACTTTCATTATCAAATTTTCTGTAAAGTGTCGTTATAGATTATCAATGCCTGAATTAAAAACGAATGTTGATTTACTTTTAGTTTAGTTGACTTTGTTAGTATATTAGTACTACCTTGTAAAAGTAAAAAAGACGGAAAACGATTTTGCTTAGGGAAAGTTGGATGGTTTGCTTAGGGAAAGTTGGATGGTTTGTTAAGTTATGAGTACAATTACCGAATCATTGTCAATCGCTTTGAATTAGGAATCAAAGCCAATTTGTATTTTTTTTTTGTAAAAGCTTTTGAGTTCCTTTATAATTTTGTTTTGAGAAGTGTTGCTGTTTTGTTTGAAGTTGCCAGGCAACTCGTACCTCGGAGCGCTCACCTTGTCAGCTAAGCACCACGGGTCAGGGTTGTATGTGTGTATGATCCGACACAAAGGACGGCTCACCAACCACATAGCTTTTGTACTCACCAGGGATAACACTGACCTCGGTAAGAAAGTAGACTTGACGATCATCATGACACTGGCTGATATTATTGCATGACGTGTTCCTGACATTTTCAGTGATATAAATACCAATAAACATGGGCAAACATCTTAGTCTATCTATTTATTTTGCCACTAAAAACTTAAATTGTATATATTTTTAGATTGTTTCTATTCTTATGACAAATTAGTATTTACAACACATATTACTCTTGAATTGCAATCAAACAATTTTTTTTTACCAGAAATGTTATAAGCATTCCTCGTTTTGAAAATGTCGTAGCAATGTTTAAACGCAAGATTTATATGTTGATTTTAAAATAATCGAAAAATAACCTTACCTCAATATTATGTCAATTTGTCTTTTATACGGATACTGTTCAAAATTTGCCTTAAAGTGAGAAAAAATAAATATCTTCCAAGGGACATGTTTTAAACAGTCAGTAGATATCATCAAAACTCTGACCCCGAAATAAATTTTGCCGTCGGTTGTCATTTATTTCCTGACCTTCTACAGTAGCTTATGTTCTAGCTTCATCTTAACACAGCAAGCAACACTAGATCATTAAATGCAAGAATGAGCATATGACATCACAGTCCTTTATACCAATTGTATACGGGATTGTGGTTTTCAATATCAATTTCTTTCCAAGTATATTTCATGCATGTTCCACCTGTCATCAAATATTTTCCCGTTCTTCCTTTTCAAACACCACCAAACACGAATTGTTTTGTCACTTCTCAAATTTCATTTGCATTTTAAAAACTCTTTGCTGCCATGAGAACCGCTTCCCCGTAAATTCAACTGAATGCCGATCAAATTACTGTTTTCAGTTGTGATTCACAAGCCAAACGACAGGAAATATGTGTCTGATTATGAGCAATGTTCTCTTCCCGTCACGGGTTTTATTTTCAACACATTCAGACCTTTCGCCAAGTTGCTACCGATCGTAGCAGTTAAAACATTTGCGAACGTATGATTCTTCATGTGATTTATTATGATAATTGCACAATCAATACTTTATTAGCTGTGGCGAAAATTGTATTCTACCTATCAATGCTATCTGACTGTGTTGACATAGAATGAAGTAGAGGACAATATGACGTTATGAATAACTCACATGATCCTAAAGTCTATTGTAGAAAAATGAAAGGGTATAATCTGTGTCTAAAAATAGTGCGGTTGTAAACCAAACATTAGATGCAAATGGAATCAATTCGCCTTACTGACACGACAAAGACTTAGTCTCTTGCCTAAATTCACATTCCCGAGAAATGTTAAAATGAAATCATCCCAATACATAACCTATGTAGCTGTGCGCGAAGGAACTAGGGTGTAAACTGATAATCTGGCCTTAAGACCCTATGCTATGTAATTGTGAGGCTGACTTTGTAGTTATCCCGTCCTACAATTGAACGTGTAGTGTTTATGTATTACAGTTTATGATATGGCCATTATGGAGGTGACAGGAGAACAGGATTTCCTCATTTTTATGGCAATATTTGCCATGCTTGCCCTTATATTTTCGACATGTAGGATGTTTCAACTAGCCAAAGAAGATGGCATGTAAGTAATAAACTATTGTTATATTATTGATTATTGTATTAAACGGTTGATTCAAAAATTATTGTTTATAAAAGTCACAAACAGATATGAATGATATTGTGTATTTCTGATAGGATTTCCCCCTCAACATATTGTATGAAAGAATGGACTAACAACCAGTTTCTTTCTGAATCCTGATATAACAGTAACAGAGGCATATCATCATATGAATCTTTCTTATTCTCGGTATCAGTCGCCCGATGCTTGAAAAACTAAAACAGTTCAGAGCCAGATCGTCAAACAAAGACACAGTAGAGACCGAGTTCCGACAGCCTCCCGGAATAGATGACCTTTACAAGGTAAGTTTAAACCTTTTTTTTCAATTCAAACTATCAGTTGTATTTTCAATTTCAATCATTAAAGCGACATTTCTACATTTCAAACTTCGCCGAAATGAATGAACAGATTTCGACCCCTATAAACGAATACATATTTTACACTGTTATAAAAACACTGCGCATTTTGTGTAGTATTGCAATTGGTTGGGATCTTGATAAAATGTAAACGACAACACAAATCTTGTTAGGCTGAGATGATCCCTGAGGGAGTTGCTAATGAACCTGTCGGTGATTCTAATGACGATACTAAGGACTCGCAGGACAAAGATTCTGAAATAGTCGAGACACCTGAAACCGAGAACATTGCCATAGACCTACATTCTTCATATAGCTGCGAGGACGACGGTAACGAAGGACAGGTAGTTTATATTGTCATTAACCCCTATTCATCGTAAGCAATGTATGTAGTCTGAATCCTGTAATACCTATACCTCCTACAGCAAAAATATTAGATTCTCCTTCCTATCATAGAATAATAAGCAATTTCTGTATGGGCGATGGACTATATACAGAGTGGAAGTTTTACTCCATACAAAGATTTTTCCTCAATTCGTTCAATGTATAAAGTACAGACTGTCCCTGTGTAATGATTTTAAACCTTTTGCTTTCAATTCCACAGCAGCCAATCACTCCGTCTTTTCAATCTATTCCAAATCATCCCAGCATGCACGGCACTTCTGGAGCAGTATGTAAGTTGTATTTCGGTTTTGTTAATGTAGCTACATGGTTTCGATAACATATCGTAATGACAAATATGATTTCATGAATATACAGTTTGAATAACAACGAATTAATTGAATAAATTAATATATGTTTTCGAAAGATATACAAATATTTGGCGCAGTTAGTGCGTCACAAGTGAAAAATTATGAAAAATGAAAAATATGTATTTCAGTATTCTCAAAAATTGATATGCAAATATGCAAGAATAATAGTGTATACCCAATACAAATATTTTGGGCATTTAAAAGTTCCATATTTGCATTTGGAAAATTAAATATTGTGTATACAATATAGTTTGTGATGCCTACCGAATATAAGTTCACTCTTTTCTAGTACATCAACCAAGCACGATAAGCCATGGAGCAAGGATATCTTCAGTTACGCTTTACGATCCACAAAGCGCTAGAAGTAATATCAATGATGACGAGATACCGAGGAGATCCTCAGCATTGCCCCGCGATCCACAAAGCGCTAGAAGTAATATCAATGATGACGGGATACCGAGGAGATTATCAGTAAAACTCCGCGATCCACAAAGCGCTAGAAGTTATATCAATGATGACGAGATATCCAGGAGATCCTCAGCATTGCTCCGCGATCCACAAAGCGCTAGAAGTAATATCAATGATGACGAGATCCCGAGGAGATCCTCAGCTTTGCTCCGCGATCCACAAAGCGCTAGAAGAAATATCAATGATGACGAGATACCGAGGAGATCCTCAGCATTGCCCCGCGGTCCACAAAGCGCTAGAAGTAATATCAATGATGACGAGATACCCAGGAGATCATCAGTAAAATTCCGCAGTACACAAAGCGCTAGAGAAGACACCATTGATGACAAGATACCCAGGAAAACAGTAAAACCACGCGGTACACAGAGTGCTAGAGACGACATCGATGATGAGATACTTAGGTATATAAATATACGTAACGAATTTAAGTAAACCCAATGCACATGATAGCCTTCAATTCATAATAACATCAAAAGTATTTTGGCATAATTGAACACGTGTTTTCAAAGGAAGTTTCCTAATTGTTTGAATAGAATATTTCCAACTGCTACTGGAATAGTGTTTGTCAGTCTGACGGACCCTTCTCTGGCTTCACTCAATAGATACATATATGACTAACATAACTTTTAAGACGTAGATACATACATTTTAACTCGTGTCGATTTGTAATCAAATATTCTCTTAGTAATATGTTTTAATAACGTGAGAAAACTTTTCTTTTCAGCTTACGCTTATACTTTTAGGGCCAGGGCCCACTTGTATAAAACATCTCATAGTTAAGGAAAAGATCAAGCAATGTTTTGTCTATGGGAAATCTTAGACTTGAGGAAATCTCAAGAGTTGAGATGTTTTATACAAGTGGGCCCTGTTTTGTGTTGTACTATACTAATTCAAGTTTAGCAGTAATACTTTTTTCATTCGTATTTTGCTTACAAAGTGACAGTGACATATTTCTGTTTGAAATGGATGACTAGTCAAATATGACATTTATATCATCATCATACTATTAAGAGGATTAAAGTACCTTCAAATCGTACACGAATTCTATGGGATCATAAGTTTTATATTATACGGCGAATGAATTATCAAATCAGAATGCATATGGAGGTAATGCTATGAAAAATGCAGGTTATTTTATGTATGAGCACATATCGAGGCAGAGAGAAATAGTTTAGGCCCTACTCCGATTCGCTATTATAAACACTTTGTCCGTTTGTCTCTCCGTCCACGCAATCGTTTCCAGAGATTATCACAAAATCAAAAGGTATAAAATTCCTGTATTATATCTGGTGATACTCTTAAATATTTATGTGTGCAATCAGGCTTTTAAAAGGTCCTAATCTGAAGGTCAAGGTCACTGTTACTAAAAATATAGCACGCGAATATTGTTAAAACAACATCAAAATATACTCTCAGACCCACCAGGGTTATTTTAGTAATAAATTGTATTTTGTAAATAATCTACATGAAATACACCATATAATCGGTATCTCTAAATCCAAGATGGGCACCAGTCAAGGAACCTGACACCAAAATGCATGTATGATATATTGTCATAGCTTCATTTAGTGGAGCTTTCCGACTCGGCAGGGCTTGTTTTGATATTAAATAGTATTTGGTGATCACATCGCCATATTTCCCGGATTATGAAATCCAAGATGGTCACCGGCCGCTGCTTGGCGGAGATAAATGATGTTTAGTGGTAGCTCATATATGGAAAAATCACGCATTGTTCTGATTATACGATCAAAGAAAACCACCATGGCCTTTGATTGGCTAAGACCTTCTGGATTTAAACTTCTGTTCTGATTTGCTCACACTTGATGGTAACTGGTATGTGTTTTATTACATACTTGTGTAATGCCTTATGATCAATATTCAGAAATCCAAAAAGCGGGGATAAAACAGTTAAGTACATGGCGGATCCCGTGCTGATCTGTCGGCGTCTTTGTTTTGATTGACAATCACGTCTTTTGTTTTACTTAAGAGAATTATAATGTCGATTGCGTTTGAATATGATTTTCCAGCTCCGAGATTGTAACAATAGACGACAGTCAGTATGCCCCACCAGATCAAAAGCATGAGACGTCACAGTGGTCACCATATTCCTCTAGCATCTCCGCCCGTGGTGATGTTGCCAAGGGTGTGTCCTCTTATATAAACTCCCAGGGTGATGTTTCCAGGGGCATGTCATATCATAGAGCCTCTCGGATTGATGATGTGAGAGGCGTGTCTTCTCACACAGTTCCAAATACCCGGTCTAGCTTCTCTTCTGGGGAAAGATTGGGTTCGTCACACCAAGTGCCTGTAACAGAGAACAAGTAAGTATAAATAGACCTAACAGTGTATAACAAGTGTTCAATGTTCATTGAATAATAGAATCTTCCCCTACCTTGAGGGTGTGACAGAGAAATCTCCTAACCGAGGAGTGATGGTTTTGGTTTTGGTTTAGACAACCAAAAATATAACCCCTCGGTTAGGAGATTTCTCTATCACACCCTCAAGGTAGGTGATGATTATTTTTTTTCCCGTCCTATTATTTCATTCACAACACCGACAGTAGTATGCCAAGTTTGGAAACAAAAACAAATATGGGGTATGCATATCGTCATTCACTTTTGATGACGTCACAATTACCGATGACGCATTTAATGACGTCACAATTGAACATGTGCTAATCGGCACGAGACTATCACCCCCTAGGGGTGACTAATAAAATCTTCCCCTATCTTGAGGGTGTGACAGAAAAATCTCCTACCCGAGAGGTGATTCTTTTGGTTGTCTAACCTGAGGCTATGCCGAGAGTTGGGCAACCAACAAAAATCACCCGAGGGTAGGAGATTTCTCTGTTACACCCTCAAGGTAGGGAAAGATTATTTTTCTCCCATCCTATTATTTCAGTCACAACTCCACCGACAATAATCTGCCTTGTTTGTTCGTCAATAACTTTAACGACGTCACAATTACACCTGTAACGCATTTAATGACGACACAATTTATCACGTGCTAATCGGCACAAGGCTATCTCCCCCTAGGGGGTGACAAGCTGATCTCTCCCGGCTAAAACGGGAGACACACCTGTGAAGGGTGGGAGAAAACTGAGTCAACATCCAGTTTATAAATAGATTGCTAAAAAGGTTTTTAGCGTACTATTTTTCGATCCAAAATAGTTACTCTGATAGGCTTACTGCAATCTAAACAAGTTTAAAACCTCTAGTAAATGGATCCACTTTTACCTGTAGTATTTCAATTGAAGTATACAATTATAACGTTGCATTGGAGTTCAGTATTGCGATAAGTCAAACATAAAGCCCGAGATTAAGTAAAAGAAAGAGGAAAGTAAACCTTCCTGCCAATTTGAACATAAATCGTCAAACTGAAAAATGAGACGATTCCGCCGTTCATGTTTACCTTTATGGACGAGAGCACATTAACAATAACAAAAACACTTTACACGTGTAAATAGTTAGAGATAACATTAAATAATAATCGAGGGAATGTTCAACCTCATTTCAAAAAAGTAAGAGGTGATAACGACGGGTCTGAAGTTTGACGGTTCAAGCATGTTCGATAATTCTATCAGGAAGTTAGATTTTGTCCAAATGACCTGCATCTGATCAAGGTAAATACTTGTTGATTAGTCTTACTAGAGAAAAGATTGGCTTCATGCATACCTAACATGTAGTAATCTCTTCTCGCATGAAATGACTCGGAAGTTCGCCTAAAAAAAAAAACTTTAGGAAAAGCACACCTTTTTATCCGTTTTTACCCATAAAATAATGCAGGTCTTGTTGCTAAAGTTATTTCTATTATCATTGTAAATGCATGTTTAAAACTTTGATACTTAACCAGGTAACATGTATTTGGAATGTACATCGACTTGAATTATTTTGACCTTGTGTATGGATAATGTGGTATATTGTCTCAATATGTTACTCTATAGTGATGTACAACCACCTCAGCCACAAATCAGCTGGACCCACAGATCAACTCACCAGATAGCAAATGGGTCTATGAGGTATGTCATATACACATCTTCTAAACCAATCTTCACATATTTTATCTTCTGACAGTTCATTTGTCCTCAATTCTTTTTTTGTGCTGTCTGAATATGTATTTCTCTGACATGTAGGCATGTATTATTGTCCAGACCGTAGGCTTTGAGATATTGATAGTGGAGTTTTCTGACTCCAAGAAAAATAATGTGAAGTGAGGTCTGTGCTTCAGATTTATTTCGAAATGGTGTTGTATACCCTGGAAAGTATATCTTGGTGATTTTAATGTAGCTTACTCAAACTTCATTGTTACATTTAACTCTAAAATTAATAAAACGGTTGAAAGGTAAATATTTCCTTTCAATTTTAGATCTAGGACTTCTCCAAGCCCTTCACGTCAGCAGAGTTCTATCCTTGAGAACCAGTTATCGTGTTCACTACCACCTGCTGGGTCACCATCACCTCCTAAGTCTCCCCTAGTATGGACATCTCCTTCACATCAACAACCGGACCTTGCTATAACTGTCTCGGCAAACAGGTCGTTGACTGGCAAGATAGACCCACAATATACCCTACCAACCTTACCGTCTACTCAAACATTGCCGCAACCCCCGAGTCAGGGTAACATGGCCGGAGAAGATGTGGTGACGTCATCCAGTGAGGAGACGTCTCAAGATGGAACATCTAGTTCATCTGATCAGTCCTCAGATTTGGATCCTGGAACGGATACGGAAACATCGCTATCATTTCCACCATTACCAACACCACCTCCTCCGACACCTTAATATCACCTGTCTATAACGTTGGAATCTGGTCAAATGTTATGTTTTCTCAATCGAGTGGGTAAAGTTATGAACGACCTTATTCCATGTATACCAATGAAAAATGATCATTTAATAAAACAGTTTTACACGCTTGATTTGGTTTGTTTTCAGTGTCACTTATTTACACTATCAGTACAGAGCTGGCTTTGCCTACATTCGTTCCAACTTTATTTAGTTTAAATGTTTTAATTAGTTATTTAATGCGTTCACCGAGAGATGTTCAAGAGAAATAAAAAGTGATAAAAGTGATATAAAAACCATAAAAGGAGTAGACTTCGTTAATGCAAAATGAAATAGATTGTTCAAAATAGCAAAAGCTGACGGAGAAACGAAATTAATTCGGATACCCTACATAACGTACTCTGATATGCATGTTTGTGACACCATAACATTGAACCTCGCTAGACAGCTACGTCACCACCGGTAACCCTCTGTGTCTTATGTTTTGTATCTATTTGCTGATCACATTATTTACCTACAGAGAGATATAGTTATCTAGACCTGGTTTCAAGTTCAAACTCGTTCATAGAGAGCTATGAAGAATGTGGCTTCACTTGTTAATAATAGCATATATAGCAAACTTCTTTTGATAAAGAATACATCATATCTTGTATTTTTATAAATGCTATGACATTGCATTGGCGGCGCACATACATAGCTCCAAGCAAATCCAAGGATAGAGCAAATATTGGTTCCGATAATGAAGATGTTCCCTATCTCTGAAACAAACATAATTTCTATTTCCCGGTCTCGCATGTAGCATCACTATAGAATAAGTCTCGACTCTATCAATCCCAGCTTATTACATGGAGAAAGAGAAATTTAAAGCGTCAATTATTATCACTTTAAAATAAATATCTGTCCAATCTGATTAAAATCATCTGTTGTACAACAATTTCTTCCAAGTGAAGGGGGTTATGTTTAATATTTACCAGTAAATATTTCATAATCGATAATTGTCTCCTGCGTTTTTATGTGAAATAACGAAAAATGCGCAAATACAGGATCTCCAACGAGTGATGACTGTTTACTGAGAACTAATTCAGCTTTAATTCTGTTTCTTTATTTCGTAGTTTTTTGTAGCGCCATCCTGAGATGGAGTAAAACTGTAATACAAACACACATTCTTACTAACACGATAGAATAAGCTTATAAACACTGAACGAGAAATTAGATAAATTCAACTTAATTTGACATGTCGTGTATGACAAATGTACAATATTACTCAATATTAATGACTAAAAGAAACATGTAACACATATTTATCAATAGTTACACTACTCGTTGCCGCAGATGTAAAGAATTCTCTATGTATGGTGGTACCATGTGTTTCTAAAATGACGTCTGCTAAAGATCTGAGGCAATATTAAACTGCGGACGGTAATGTCCGGAAAGGCGTATACAATAATAACCTACTCGACCGGGTAGATAATTCCGGAATATACCATATCGATGTACTACATACATATTACATTTGCTGAGGTGAACTAAATACTTAATACTTATGTATTCTACAAATTAATCACTACTTAAGATAAATGTTCTATTTTGTAACATGACAATGACTGATTTTTAATTATAAAGTACGACCTTCGGTGACACCTATAGAATACACGAGAGTAATGACACCAGTTAAAGTTATGAGGTGATAGAACTATAGCGGCTACATGTACTTGAGTAATGAAACCCTAAGCAGGTATGGAGAAATGGAGCCTTTTGTTGGTATGAGAGTGACGAAACCCATGGCAGGTATTGAAGCGATGGAACCTTTTACAGTTGAAAGAGTTAAACTACAGTAGAATCAATAAATGAATATTTATCATATCTTTCATTTATAAGACTAATTGGACAGGCATGTACATACACATGAGCGTGCATGTGATACAAAATGTACATACTAGTACATACTCTCTCTATATATAGTACGCAGTTCACTAAGTACCCTACCTATACATCGGTGGGCAATATTTTAACAGGTCAATAAGTATATTTTTATTATCATCATGATAAAGCACCTAGATACATTATCTCCATAGCACGAACTGATGTACATGTATCACATGAAAAACCCAGCACATCAACCCCAGCGGCCAGTAGCATCCATCTTGTATATAGTCAATGGTACAATCATACAGACATTACGAATTGACATATGCATTGCAATGCTGTGACGTGTTTGCGATTGCCTATAACCAAACATTCGTTTATTGCGTTCCAAACGGTTTGATCGTATGGGCCAGAGTTATTCGTTCATGAAACATGGACCGACTTAGTGATCATTGGTTTTTAATGGCCTTGGCAAAACCTTCAACGCCTGCATTTGTACTTGCATGTCCGCCAGAATTTATCCCTCCAAATTGGCACTAGTTCAATAGTGGGACATTTTTATGGCTACCTATCACCTAATTCCAATATTGTAACATGTGTTACGTCTGCCTAAAACGAGATCTGATATAATGACGTCGAAACGACAGGTCACACATAGTGATGATAATAAAAACCCATCGACTTTCATATCACACAAGGGTATAAAATCTATCCCGATTAGATCCTGATTGCGACCATACCACTTGTCTAAAGGCCTTACCAACTATTATCTCTCGAAATTTTGTGTTGTTATGTTTTCTGTTAAAAATGACATGTATAATGGGAATCGTGATATTTAGAGCAAGCTCTTGAATAACGAATCAACTTCGACATTTAAACATCGTAAACTGGTGATGCGGGGAAAAGTATAAGTTCCCCCGATTTTGAGCGTGTGGCAGAGAAACATCAAACTCAAGGGATGATTTGTTCAAATATCTACTGTATCTCATTGAGGGCTGACATACGAGTCCTAGGTGGTGACAGGAGAAACAGGTAAAAAGGGAGAAAGTTCTGTGAAATGTCTGTTGCAATAAAGAGTATGTATTTCCAAGTTCGTACCATCCGCATCCAAAGTAAAATAGCCAGACTTACCCTCTAGTTACAAACAATCCATATCCCAACCGTTAATGCTTACCAACCCTATCCCAGGTAAAATAGATTTACTTTTCTCTTTGATGCGTATCAACGCAATGGCAGGTAAAACAGATTGAATTTGCTCACCGCCCTCATTCCAGCTTACCCGCTGCTCAAGTACCACTATTATCCATTAAAAAATATCTTTTAATCCCTAGACACATACACGCACCGACCCAGTTAAAAAGTAACTTAACTATACCTTTGAGACTACAACCCCAATACCACGTAAAATGCCTCGTCTTAGCCCTTTTTATAGTTTGACTATAATAGTGCTTTAACCATATCATTCAGTAACACTTGTGTTATATGCAAGTGTTCAATATAAAATTATATTTTAGGATTACTAAATTTCAAGTTACATTGACTGTGATGATAACCTATACTGCATTGTTATACTATATGCTTGTATATTGCAGTGGCGAATCCAGAGGTTTTTTGGGGGGCTTCAGGACCCCTGAATAATTTGTGTTAATAAAGCCCAGTTCTGTGTAAACATAATACACACTTCGGCATTATGAGAGATAATGTACGTTACAGACAAAAGAGTAATGGTTTAAAGTCTAATATAAGTCGTAGGCAGTCTACCCTAACATAAACGGCGAGTATCTTACTAATGTTATTAGTATAAACCAGGGTAGACATACAGTTTAAGACCCGTGTGTACGCAGGTCAGGTAAATAACGGCAGGTAAATAACGGCACAACGCTTCTCACATGATGTACATGTGAGACTGCCCGAGGTGGGGTACAAGGTATTCTTATAAATAGGTAACAGATATTCTCGTTAGCTACAACAAATGATCAAGCGTCTGGTTGAACAAGACTAGGCAACAGACAGCCGAAACGATTACACGACACCATTCACGGCATGGCAGAACTTGACTCGTTACTCCAACAAAAGAGTGGGTACGATGTGGGACCATTCCGTACGTACGTACGACCTGTACTGGCTGAGTTTGTAGGTACGACACTGTTTGTTTTCATTGGCGTGCTGTCCGTACAGTCCGGTAATCTGGCCTCTATAGGCCTGGCGCATGGACTGACCATCGCGCTCCTCATCATGGGCCTCGGCAAAATCAGGTAAGACTTACTTTAAATTTAATAGGGCTTTACGAGGAATTGTTGCATTTATTACAGGTCGAAATCATTATATGCCTTATGGCTGATAATGCTAGACATTCGGCATAGTTTACGCCTAATGGTTATTCAACTGCATTTTAAATCCTGGTTTTTCATAACTTATTCTGGATTGATTTTTAACTTTTCTTATATAGCACTTACACTCCCCTAAAAATCTTTTGGTTTGATAACCTGGGTTTCCCTAGCTGAATCGTTTCACGGTAATGCTACATAAGTGAGAACCAGTTTGGATATTTAGTTATTGACTAAGAGAATTTAGTAGAAATGCAGGAATTGTAACAGTATTTCCTTTCATTATAGCAAATTCAATAACATAGCACTTGTCACATAGTATACGATAAAGGATCTTAAAAAGACTTAAATCATAATTAGTCGCAATTGTAACAATCTTTCAAATAGTCTCGAAGTTTTGATAATATAACATATTTGTGTTGTCAATGTTCTACTATAATATAGGGGCACATTTAGCAAAATGGATGGATCCTCGATGGTCAACAGATCATACAGGGACCAAGTTCACATTACGTCGACCGATCATACAGGAAACAAGTTAATAATAAACTGACCGATCATACAGGGAACAAGTTAACAATACTTCGACCGATCATACAGGGAACAAGCTCACAATACACTGACCGATCATACAGGACACAAGTTCACATTACGTCGACCGATCATACAGGGAACAAGCTCACAATACACTGACCGATCATACAGGGAACAAGTTAACAATACTTCGACCGATCATACAGGAAACAAGTTAACAATACTTCGACCGATCATACAGGGAACAAGTTAACAATACTTAGACCGATCATACAGGACACAAGTTCACATAACGTCGACCGATCATACAGGGAACAAGCTCACAATACACTGACCGATCATACAGGGAACAAGTTAACAATACTTCGACCGATCATACAGGAAACAAGTTAACAATACTTCGACCGATCATACAGGACACAAGTTCACATTACGTCGACCGATCATACAGGGAACAAGTTAACAATACACTGACCGATCATACAGGGAACAAGTTAACAATACACTGACCGACAATAGAGGGATTAAGTTAACAATACACTGACTGATCATACAGGGAACAAGTTCACAATACCCTGACCGACAATGTGGGAAATAGTTAACAATACACTGACCGATCATACAGGGAACAAGTATCATACAGGGAACAAGTTCACAATACACTGACCGATGATACAGGGAACAAGTTCACAATACACTGACCGATGATACAGGGAACAAGTTCACAATACACTGACCGAGCATACAGGGAACAAGTTCACAATACACTGACCGAGCATACAGGGAACAAGTTCACAATACACTGACCGATCATACACGGAACAAGTTAACAATACACTGACCGATCATACAAGGAACAAGTTAACAGTACACTGACCGATCATACAGGGAACAGGTTAACAATATACTGACCGCCCATACAGGGAACAAGTTAACAATACACTGACCGACAATAGAGGGATTAAGTTAACAATACACTGACTGATCATACAGGGAACAAGTTCACAATACACTGACCGATGATACAGGGAACAAGTTCACAATACACTGACCGATGATACAGGGAACAAGTTCACAATACACTGACCGATCATACAGGGAACAAGTTAACAATACACTGATCGATCATACAGGGAACAAGTTAACCATACACTGACCGATCATACAGGGAATGAGTTCACAATACCCTTACCGACAACAGAGGGAACAAGTTAACAATACACTGACCGATCATAAAGGGAACAAGTTAACAATACACTGACCGATCATACAGGGAACAAGTTAACAATACACTGACCGACAATAGAGGGAACAAGTTAACAATACACTGACCGATCAGAAAGGGAACAAGTTAACAATACACTGACCGACCATAGAGGGATTAAGTTAACAATACACTGACTGATCATACAGGGAACAAGTTCACAATACCCTGACCGCCGATAGAGGGAACAGGTTAACAATACACTGACCGATCATACAGGGTACAAGTTAACAGTACACTGACCGATCATACAGGGAACAAGTTCACAATACCCTGACCGACAATGTGGGAAATAGTTAACAATACACTGACCGATCATACAGGGAACAAGTTAACAATACACTGACCGACAATAGAGGGATTAAGTTAACAATACACTGACTGATCATACAGGGAACAAGTTAACAATACACTGACCAATCATACAGGGAACAAGTTCACAATACACTGACCGACCAAACAGGGAACAAGTTAACAATACACTGACCGTTCATACAGGGAACAAGCTAACGATACACTGACCGATCATACCGGGAACAAGTTAACAATACACTGACTGATCATACAGGGAACAAGTTAACAATACACTGACCGATCATACAGGGAACAAGTAAACAATGCACTGACCGACCAAACAGGGAACAAGTTCACAATACACTGACTGATCATACAGGGAACAAGTTCACAATACCCTGACCGACAATAGAGGGAACAAGTTAACAATACACTGACCGATCATACAGGGAACAAGTTCACAATAGCCTGACCGACAATGGAGGGAACAGGTTAACAATACACTGACCGATCATACAGGGAACAAGCTTACAATACACTGATCGATCATACAGGGGAACAAGTTCACAATACACTGACCGACAATAGAGGGAACAAGTTAACAATACACTGAACGACCATACAGGGAACAAGTTCACAATACCCTGACCGATCATACAGGGGAACAAGTTCACAATTCCCTGACCGATCATACAGGGGAACAAGTTCACAATACCCTGACCGACAATAGAGGGAAAAGGTTAACAATACACTGACCGATCATACAGGGAACAAGCTTACAATACACTGATCGATCATACAGGGAACAAGCTAACAAAACACTGACCGATAATACAGGGAACAAGTTCACAATACCCTGACCGACAATAGAGGGAACAGGGTAACAATACACTGACCGATCATACAGGGAACAAGTTAACAATACACTGACCAATCATACAGGGAACAAGCTGACAACACACTGACCGATAATACAGGGAACAAGTTAACAATACACTGACCGATCATACAGGGAACAAGTTAACAATACACTGACCGATCATACAGGGAACAAGTTAACAATACACTGACCGATCATACAGGGAACAAGTTCACAATACACTGACCGATCATACAGGGAACAAGTTAACAATACACTGACCGATCATACAGGGAACAAGTTCACAATACACTGACCGACCATACAGGGAACAGGTTAACAATACACTGACCGATCATACAGGGAACAAGTTAACAATACACTGACCGATCATACAGGGAACAAGTTAACAATACGCTGACCGACCAAACAGGGAACAAGCTAACAACATACTGACCGACCCTACAGGGAACAAGTTAACAATACACTGACCGATCATACAGGGAACAAGTTAACAATACACTGACCGATCATACATGGAACAAGTTTACAATACACTGACCGATCATACAGGACACAAGTTCACAATACACTGACCGATCATACAGGGAACAAGTTAACAATACACTGACCGATCATACATGGAACAAGTTTACAATACACTGACCGAACATACAGGACACAAGTTCACAATACACTGACCGACCAAACAGGGAACAAGCTAACAACACACTGACGACCCTACAGGGAACAAGTTAACAATACACTGACCGATCATACAGGGAACAAGTTAACAATACACTGACCGATCAAACATGGAACAAGTAAACAATACACTGACCGATTATACAGGGAACAGGTTAACAATATACTTACCGATCATACAGGGAACAAGTTAACAATATACTGACCGACCCTACAGGGAACAAACTAACAGTACACTGGCCGATCATACAGGGAACAAGTTAACAATACACTGACCGATCATACAGGGAACAAGTTCACAAAACACTGACGGACAATAGAGGGAACAAGTTAACAATACACTGACCGATCTTACAGGGGAACAAGTTAACAATACACTGACCGATCATACAGGACACAAATTCATATTTAGTCGACCGACCATACAGGGAACAGGTTAACAGTACACTGACCGATCATACAGGGAACAGGTTAACAATATACTGACCGACCATACAGGGAACAAGTTAACAATACACTGACCGATCATACCGGGAACAAGTTCACAAAACACTGACCGACAATAGAGGGAACAAGTTAACAATACACTGACCGATCATACAGGGAAGAAGTTCACAATACACTGACCGACAATAGAGGGAACAAGTTAACAGTACACTGACCGATCATACAGGACACAAGTTCACAATACACTGACCAACCAAACAGGGAACAAGTTAACAGTACACTTAACGATCATACAGGGAACAAGCTAACAACACACTGACCGATCATACAGGGAACAAGTTCTCAATACTCTGACCGATCATACAGGACACAAGTTCACATTAAGTCGACCGATCATACAGGGAACAAGTTCACAATACACTGACCGATCATACAGGGAACAAGTTAACAACATACTGACCGATCATACAGGGAACAAGTTAACAACACACTGACCGATCATACAGGACACAAGTTCACATTAAGTCGACCGATCATACAGGGAACAAGTTCACAATACACTGACCGACCAAACAGGGAACACGTTAACAGTACACTTAACGATCATACAGGGAACAAGCTAACAACACACTGACCGATCATACAGGGAACAAGTTCACAATACTCTGACCGATCATACAGGACACAAGTTCACATTAAGTCGACCGATCATACAGGGAACAAGTTAACAATACACTGATCAACCATACATGGAACAAGTTAACAATATACTGACCGATCATACAGGACACAAGTTCACATTAAGTCGACCGATAATATAGGGAACAAGTTAACAATACACTGATCGACCGTACAGGGAACAAGTTAACAATACACTGACCGATCATTCATGGAACAAGTTAACAATACACTGACCGATCATACAGGACACAAGTTCACATTAAGTCGACCGATCATATAGGGAACAAGTTAACAAAACACTGATCGAACATACAGGGAACAAGTTAACAACATACTGACCGATCATACAGGGAACAAGTTAACAACATACTGACTGATCATACAGGGAACAAGCTAACGATACACTGACCGATCATACAGGGAACAAGCTAAAAATACACTGACTGATCATACAGGGAACAAGTTAACAATATACTGACCGACCATACAGGTAACAAGTTAACAATACACTGACCGAATCAGATCGGTATTTTTGTTGTTAGATCCATAAATTCTGGTTATTATAAAAATGAACTATCTATTACGCAAAAACAGGGTATTATTACGTGCATTCCAAAAGGGGAGAAACCAAGACATTTCATTAAAAATTGGCGACCGATTTCACTTTTAAATATTGTTTATAAAATAGCATCAGGGGTTATAGCGGGTAGGGCAAAAACAGTCTTAGGTAAACTTATAGATAAAGATCAAACAGGATTTTTAGAAGAGCGTTACATTGGCGAAAACACTAGGATTATTTATGATATTATGAACTATACTGAAGACAACTATATACCTGGAATGCTTCTTATGATTGACTTTGAAAAAGCTTTTGATTCGGTATCATGGAAATTTATAGATAAAACTCTTTCTTTTTTTGGTTTCGGGGATAGTATTAGAAAATGGATAAAAACACTACATAATAATGTTTATTCTGCAATAAATCAGGGTCGGAATCTCTCTACTTTCTTCAAGGTTAAGCGCGGCTGTCGCAAATAATACGTCGACCTATCACACAGGGCGCATGTTCACTAAATGTTGAATAATTTAGCAACGAACAAAATAATAACGATCTGATCATATAATATGTATCCTAAATGAATAACCTTTTCGTCTGATGTGTCTTTCGTGTTCTTCAATAATGACCGTGCTGATTTACCTGTCAAACTTTCGTTGATGTGCTCATACTGGAGAAATATCCATGTCTTTATCACGATATATCACTTCCTGTTATTAATGTTTATGTATTTTCTAGCGGTGGACACTTTAACCCTGCTGTGTCCCTGGGAGTGTGTCTGTCGGGCGGTATCACGGTCGTCCTCACAGTAGCCTACATCGTGGCTCAGATCCTTGGGGGAATGATTGGGGCAGCATTCGTTAGGGTAAGTGTCAGACTGCCTTTCTGAAAACGGATCAATATGGAAGCATTATCTATTTCTATGGAAAAAATTGAAGCTGTTTGTCTCCCTTTGATCAATATGAAATCTTTACGTTTGAACTATCTCAGTCTTTGGACAATATAGCAGATCCCACATCGAACATAAACGTTATAAACTCCACTTGTTGTGTTAACACAATTTTATGACATATTTATACTAATTCAAACTCTTCTGTTTGTCTGTGGATAAGCTTCCTCTTTCCTATTATTTGTGAATGTATGACGGTACGTTACTTCTCTTCTGTGGTTTGTGATATGTGTTTGTGTCATATCCCTCTTGTTGTAACTACATGTCTTTACTACTGTGTGTATGTGACGGTATGTAATAATTTTGTATGGGAGAATATAACAGTATACAACATCTCTCCTGTTATTTATGATACTGTGACAAAAGTTCATGCCTCTCCTGTTTTTTATGAGTTTGTGATTATGTGTCATGAGTCTTCTGTTGTTTATGAGGATATGACGATATATCATGTCTCTCCTGTTGTTTTTGAGAATGTGACGATATGCATACATGTACCTCTCCTGTTGTTTGTGAAGATACGACTGTTTATCATGTATCTCCTGTTGTTTGTGAGGATGTGACGATATGCATGCTTCTCTTTTTATTTATGAGTTTGTTATTATGTGTCAGGTCTCTCCTGTTGTTTGTGAGGATGTGATGCTATACGTTCTGTTGTTTGTGAGGATGTGATGCTATACGTTCTGTTGTTTGTGAGGATACGACTGTTTGTCATGTATCTCCTGTTGTGTGTGAGGATGTGACTGTTTGTCATGTATCTCCTGTTGTTTGTGAGGATGTGACGATATACGTTCTGTTGTTTGTGAGGATGTGACTGTATGTCAAGTATCTCCTGTTGTGTGTGAGGATGTGACGATATATCATGTATCCCCTGTTGTTTGTGTAGATGTGATAATATACAAGCCTCTGCTTTTGTTTGTGAGGATGTGACGATATACATGCCTCTCTAGTTATTTGTGTTGATTATTAAGCTACTTCCACTTGTCTATTATAGGCTATACTTGAGGACAAAATGTACAACGCCATAGATGGAGGAGCACATATCCCTAGCATAGACGCCGGCTGGGCCGTATTCGGGGAAATTATCCTAACAACAATCCTCGTCCTCTCCGTCCTCATGAACGCTGTAAACGATGAAACAAAGAACGAGTTCGCCCCTTTCGCAATAGGATTTGCTGTAGCGGTAGACATAATGGCAGCGTAAGTGATGTTCTTACAATTGCAGCTCATCGGTCTGAGTTGTCTGGTTGTATTTTATCGATAAGTATTAATGAATGGCGTGATCGTAATAGCGAGTCTCTTTCCTCAACATACAAGAGATAATAAGAGAAATCAAAGGTGGAAACATAACCGTAATTCGAGCAAACGGTGTTCATCAAATCATAGTCATGTCATGTCCTTAAAGTGATAACCAGGGTAGTGACAAAGAAACCACAAGTAAAACTTTTGAGCATAATTACAAAATGTCGATTTTCATATCTCACACGGGTGTGGTCATTTCTCAATGAGATCATGCACCTTTCGAAACCTTGTAAGTTTGTCCGTTAGTATTCTTTAAATACACGTACCTATATATCCCGAAAATCAGTCTATTAAACATGCAAGAGGTAGACATGTTACACGGAGGCACGTTAGTCTAGTGGTAGGACGCCGGGCTCGTGACCGAAGGGTTGCGGGCTAGAGTCACGGCACGACACTGTGTTTTATCTTTGGGCAAGATACTTTACTTCGCTTGTACCAGTCTACTAAGCTGTAAATGAGTACGTGGTTGGGCAGTGCTAGAATTGAAAAATGCTAGATGTAAGCGCCAAAATGGTTAGTCTAGTGGTAGGACGCCGGGCTCGTGACCGAAGGGTTGCAGGTTAGAGTCACGGCACGACACTGTGTTTTATCTTTGAGCAAGATACTTTACTTCGCTTGTACAGTCTACTAAGCTGTAAATGAGTACGTGGTTGTTGAAAAATATATTGGGTGGTTACAATGACCGTATAACCACGGTAATAATTTGCTTACCATTTTGAGACGACCTACAAACTAGGCTGTGATAAAGCGGTATATAAGAACCTCGAATTATTATAATTATTACACATTCGGACAGTGTAGGTAGTCTCCGTAAGGTCATCTACCTATGTTGTCCGGTTGATGTCAAGAGTGTACTCTTTTGTGAATTTCGCTCTAAACAGCTGTGCAACGCGTATTATTTACTATTAAGACTTTCCAAATTTCAGTAATTTAGAAGAAAAAAAATGCCGATTGAGGTTTATTCTCTTGATACTAGCGTTGCTAAACCCGTTTCGTTCTAGATTTTAAAAGTAAATAGTTCATATTTTGTTTTCTTGATAAGTGAAAGTTTTCTGTAACGCGTGGTGTCAAAACTAAGGTAATTTTCACTAGTGCACTCTTAAAAGTCAGTTTGGTGCAAAAATAACAATAAGGATGTTTGTCCGTGAAGAGAATATCAACTAAACCTCCAATGTAAAATCATATGATAAGATGTAAAAATATATATATTCCAGTCGTGTATGTGATCAGCTGTTATATTGTGCTGTCTATTACAGGGGTAGTACGACCGGCGCATCCATGAATCCGGCCCGAAGTTTCGGACCGGCAGTGGCAGCCTCGGCTGTCATCATGAAGAACCCGTGGCCCTACCACTACGTGTACTGGGTGGGACCCGCAGTGGGTGCAATGCTAGCAGCCATCTTGCATAGGTAATTTTCATTTGACAAAATGATGGCACGCTACCTGGAAAGCATTTCTTTCTAGATACAGACACTGCTTTTCCTTCATACGATTTCAACCATATGTAAACTGTTTAAGTCCCAACAAATACCCGGAGAGTCGATTGTATGTCAACCCCATTGTCACAAGATTGCATATAGGATATCATAGAAAATCTTTAAAAAATTATATAATCATAATTAAAAAAAAAATCTAAACAATCTGACATGCGATTTCCCAAAGGCGAATGGTACATATTTAAATAAAAACTTAAAAATCGTATTAGATTATTTCTATTAATACACATGGTTTTACAAAGTCAATATCTATTATATAAAAAATGGCAGATATTCAATCAAACATTCTGTGATCTCTAACGGAAAGACATCAAATAATGTTTTATGTTTTATGAAAGTACTTCAACAGATTGAAATATTAACATAGACACAATAACATTAATTTAAATTAATCTTCAATATTATTCAGAGCACACAAAATACTAATTCATTGACGTCGCCCTTTGTTTTTATGCTTACCCTTCTCAGTATTAAATGTAAGATTGTGGGACATTAGCCTAATTCCAACAGGTTCCTTTAAATATTAAACAGCAAGAGGTTTTTTTCCAGTAGTTATGTAGACTCTAACCGTTGCACATGTATTGGTAGATATTTCCATTAAAATGATAACCTATTCTTGTATAGATATTAAAAATTCTTTGTTCATAATTTTAAAGTCAGACATGTCAACAGGCTAGAATTCCAATATCCTTGTTCATAATCATCACCCTATATTATTATTGTTTCTATATACCATTGAAGCAAGACTATAAAATCCAATAATCCGAATTAAATAATTCTATTCATACTAAAAGATTACAAATGTTCGCATGAAATTAACCACCTTGATTTAAGATGTTACATTTTTCCTTTACAGATATTGATATTTCAGACCCACACCTCAAAAATCGTTTAAGATAGTATCATAATCAGACAGATGTGTTTCAATACAGTTATGTTGCAGACATACCTTCCGTATACAACAAAAACTGCTTTTTTGTCATGTTCTTATTTTTGCTTTCGTTAAATTCGTTTTAAGCAACTGTTGTTAAATGATTCGTAAATGGTGTTGACAATCATATTTTGTGATCTGTTGTGTTTCAAGTTTTTCGTGTTCGTCGATGTAGCTTCGCTCGTTCAGGTTTTGCGTCCTCGCAACAGTTAAGGTCAAATGTCACGTAGTATTTGAGTTTAATGGTGCTTTTGTTGATAATTAAAGATAAATACATATTCAAAAAATTTACATTTCAGAATTTTCAAGCGGTAGACACTGAAATGTGATGTGTAAAAATCGTCGGTGTTCAGCATACAGTGCAAACCGCTCAGTTCGTATGATGAACAGGGTTTGGAGAGCATCACTACATACACAGTGGCAGTGGACAGTAAAGCCCGAAAGGCATAGACCAATTCAACGAGAATCCATATATGGCCACCCAGGGCGATAGCAGAACTTCTAATCGCATTTAGCCATGCTAAGAAACCTGTTGTGTTTAAGCCAAAATTGCCATTGCCACTTGTATTTTTCTGTATATGTATCTTGGTCAATGGATATGTAATGTGAAGATGATTGTCTACCAGCTTTAAACCGTCTACAATAGTATGCACACCGATCTGTTTTGGACCTATCCTAATAAGCCAATAATTGCATATACTAGAAGAGAGGAAAGAATCCCAATGTCTAAATATGGCCAAACCTAAATTAATCCATGGATAATTTTGCTTCCAATAGCATTCTCTTATACTCCCCCTTACACAGGAATCATATACATTCTAAGTGAGTGTAAGGAACGAATCATCTGGGTAGATATCGGAACATTTCTACTTTGTTCGGGACGCTTTGTGGTTTACCGTTAACGCCAGGAAGACATGAGAGATTTAACGAATGAGAATTTTATATATTTCCTCTGCATTACATTAACATTTAGTCGCATGTTGTGGTGACGTCGACATTATGAACACACATCAAGGTATGTCCAAACACATACCCTGTAGTTTGATCTGATATCTTTGTGCATGATGCTAGTACCAATCATGTAAGAAGATTGATATTTTACATTAAATATATTGTTATGTATTCCATATTGTTCATAGTTTATATGAAGTTTTAAATAAAATATTTTGATGCATAGTTGTGTCTTCCTTTTTTCCCTTAAATACAGTGCATTTTGTCAGTGAAGCGTTCCATATAAGATCATCACGTTATCACGCCAGTACTATTTGTACCTGATATATATTTACATCAGTACCAGTGATCAGGTCTAGTTATCCTTTTACATGTAAGTTAACCCTACCTAAAGTTAAAACTGAAACACATGTAAATCTCCTATGAGTCACAGCTCTAACGTACACAAAACAAATAATCACTTAAAATACGTAGGAAGCATACGTCTACTCACAATTTAAAGTAAGTCAATCAAGGAACCAAAGATAAAGTAGTTGTTTTTACTACATCATTTGCTCATAAGGTCCATTTAGTGTCTTCAGTGGTACGAAAGTTCAAAAATATCACGTGACTTTCTTTGTTATTGAATTGAATGCGTAGTATGTCCAATTGTCAGAATTCGTTAGCAACAAGCAAAACACAACCTCGGCATTATTGGGAAATTTTGTTGTGATAGGCATACAGACCCAAATCTTCTATAGAGAATAATACATGCCTTTTTCCATATCACACCCAGTATCAACCCGAGACTGCAATATTAGTCGAGGGTTGATACTGGGTGTGATATGGAAAAAGTGATGTTTTATTCTGTTTATTACATACTTACTAATAAAAGCTACTATCTTATGATAATTTTTTCTTTTGAAATATTGAAAACGAAAAAAAATCCAAAAGGGGTGTGGAAAAAGTCATGATTTATTCTGTTTATTACATACTTACTAATAAAAGCTACTTTCTTACGATAATTTTTTTCTTTTGAAATATTGAAAAACGAAAAAAAATCCTAAAGGTGTGTGATACGGGTTTTGCGGGCTGATACGGGTTTTGGGGTGTGATACGGCGGGGGCTGATACGGCTTTTGGGGTGTGATACGGCGAGGGCTGATATGGGTAAGAGCAATTGTGTCGTATCGCATATAC